GTGCCACTTGCCACTACACCACTTCCGCTCACATTTTTGCAATGATGTTATAAACTATTCTGCAACAGCTCAGTCTTTGTAAGCTCAGCAATTTGGCCTAATTTTCATGCTAAAAATTACCTCCATTTTTACACAATATTCTGCGATCTTACGTTCCCTTTTGTTTGATAACAGATCTGAGACACTCTGAACAACACCAGAAGGGCGGAATTCAGAAGAAGCACTTTTGAAAAAGTCTTGAACATGAGAGCATCTGACGCGGAAATCACCTTTATTTTACGAGTATTGGAGGTCCCTCATAATGATCCGTTAGACGCTTCTATGCGGCCGTGTCGGAAGCTCTTCATGCGATGCTTAGGGAAATGGGAAAAGGTGGCAAAGTGCTTCGTTTGAGCAAACAAGACACATTATGTGTTGTTGGGACCAGCCTTCGGCCGACATGGCTCTCTTATTCAATACAAACGATACGATTATATTTACTTGACAAATCATGGTAATACGCTACAACAGATCCGGAAGGCGCTATGTCGAAGGGACATTGAATTCATTGAATCAGGGCTGGGGAGGATTCTGCAGGCCACAAAGCATGATTTTGCTTGACTCAGTTGAGGCTCAGCCCATTGCGCTGATCTTGAGCATTTTATTGCTCAGGGAACGATTAGACAATCTTCACCTGCCTAACCAGCAGCTAGACAATAACCGGCTTAGATGTGACATCTTCTTACTCAATAAGTAATAATTATCACTTGAGGTTGAACACTAGAAAGCTGAGATTCTTAGTAGCAACTTAGAGTCAGCGATTTGAAGGTGGACGTGCTTCGATCTGCGACCTTATGAAATCTTACTTCAAGCATTCAGCAAGTACAGGCAGGCATTGCCAATAAAATATTTTGACTGTGCATTGCCAGTTGTCAGGACTGTTGAGTGTCTTATTGAATTTTGAGCTTTTTTAAAAAGCCGAATTGTTCTTATCGTTAGATTTCAGCAAAACTTTTTTTATCTTCACTCCCCTCTCATCCGACGTGTGCACATAACTTTATTAAGGTACTGTTACCTCCACGACATATCGGACTTCAAATAAGCTATATTTTTTTCATTTATCTCCATAGGGCGGAAGTGGTGTAGTGACAAGTGGCGCGCTTACCACGCGAGCGGTCCGGGATCAAATCCTGGGTCGTGAGTCGCCCGGGCCAACCAAGCCTTCCATCCCTCCGGGGTCGGTTAATTGGTACCAGACTTGTCTGGGAGGATAAAAACACTGACTTGAACATCGGCTGGCCCCGCAAGTCATTGTATAGGCCACATCGCATTCAAACGCCACTACGAATGTACAAATGGAAGTAGAATGCGTGCCGCATCCCAAAAAGGGATTGATCAACGGCAAATGCTTTATCCTTTATATCCTTTTATTATCATTACATCCAGTGACGGTGGTAGGCCGGTTACAAAATGATCTTTCCTTTCTTCCACAGATTTTCATCTACGAAATATCAATTGAGCAGGCTCATCAAGCTTGCCGGAGTCACTGCGCAACGCACGGTTGACTCTGTATATGGTATGAGTGAGATAGCGAGATCACTTGAATCTGATGTTTCCGTTCACCTTGAACGAAAAATTAGGTGAACATTTGTCCTTGTAATCATCGTCTCAAAGTACGATCTTTTAGAAGGCGCCGTCGAATAGCTACGTGTTTTCATCGTTTGCCGTGTTTGGAGTTGTGGGCATTGAGCGTTTTCTTCAACAAGGGGGGTGGTGCAGGCACTGCATATGTTAATTTTTGTTACATGGTGACGGTAACAATTTTTCCATAGAGTCGTCTTTCGCTTAGGTTAACCCTCATCTCGTCTACTGTCTATCAAGCGGTTTCGTTTTGGAAACCATAGCACTTTTTGACGTCTATGGCTTTCCAACTTTCTTTTATTAATGAGACAGCACGAAGAGAGGGCTGGTAACAAATGCTTCCTGGAGCTGTGACAAGAAATTGTTGCAACTCGAAGATCACTGCGATTGGAGAAATGTTAAGCTGTTAGTCATAAGCTGGAGGGAAATGTTCCCTCCAACGATGGTTGGCCATGGCAATGATATGGTGGTATTTGTTCTTTGCGGATAGCCATTAACATTTCGGCAAAGTGAAAAAGGTTTCTGAAAATAAGAAAATAGCAGATCATGTAAGCTCCTTGTGCATTTCTTTTCAATCCAACTGATCATGTCATCAATTCTTTTTTACATTTTCCAACAGTAAAAATTCGGCTGAATACGTGGGCAAAAATATTTATTTCGCTTGTTCAAAGTTCCGTTAGAGGCCACATAGCAGCGCTCTCAAAGACGTATGGAATAAACACATAGATTTGAAGCAGGGCTTAAGAAATTGGAGTTCAACGAAACTTCTCTCGAGCCTAGCAGAGAAAGTAGAAGAGAACAATTATAAAAAAAGAATGCTGTACAAAACGCCAATCAATTGTGGTAACAATGGATGCAATAAAGCACATTTTCTACACAAAGAAAGAAAAATTGTAGAAACACTGATGAATTGACTGGTAACAACGGACACAATAAAGTACATCATTGTCAGCATAACATTAACAGCAGACCTGATTAGAACACAGCGGTAAGTATTCTTACCTTTCGAATATCCTTGGTTGCCGAAATTGTTGGTGAGGGTGGATTTTTCGTCATCGTAACCTTGACTTGCTGTCCCACTCCAAAGCACCTACAGACTCCCAAGTTCTTCCTCAGATTGTCAGTTAGGTGCGGATAGTCGCATACAAAAAACATGATCGCAATGGGATCCAATACGGTGTAAATAGTCACTATCAGTGGAGTAAACGAGTATATCCTGAAAAATTCTAATCATTCATGATCGTCTTCATGCTTGCATTGCTTCCGCACATTGCTCAGTATTCGTTTTTAATGAGGATCAGGTGGAAGTGGTGTTGTGACAAGTGGCGTGGCTCGATGGTCGAGCCATGGGACGTGCGTCGTCCAAGGCCAACCAAGCCTTCCATCCCTCCGGGGTCGGTTAATTGGTACCAGACTTGTCTGGGAGGATAAAAACACTGACTTTACATCGGCTGGCCCCCGCAAGTCATTGTATAGGCCACATCGCATTCAAACGCCACTACGAATGTACAAATGGAAGTAGAATGCGTGCCGCATCCCAAAAAGGGATTGATCAACGGCAAATGCTTTATCCTTTATTTTTAATTGAGGTGAAAGGGGGGGTGTTATCACTGTTACGCCAGTATTTCGATCGAATTATAACATCGTTTTTCATGCAAAAAGTTAGGACCACCTTAGGTCAGCTTTCCGGTGAATCTGTTTAATGAATGCAGAAGAATTATGAAGAATTGAATTCTGGATCAAATTTGAAGGAAGTAAGAATTTGCACTGTATATAATAATAAACCACTTCTATACATTAGTCATCACAAAAAGCATAAAACAGCAGCAGTTCCCTTCATATTCACATAAATGCTTGAATTTGTCATGAAATAAGCTGCTTTTTGAGCTAGTTCAAGAGATATTTTCCGGTCAGTTCCCACTTATAGATGGCGCTGGACCCGCATGCCGGGAACTGCAACATGTTGTCAGTGACTAGACTATTCATGATTCCTATTTCCAAAATCGGAGCCGTTAAAGCAGTTTTCGCACGTTGTGTTTCCAATTATTTTGAAGCCTACCACAGAGGATTCCAGAACTCATAGAAAATTGCTGGCAATAGCTACCATTTATCGACAACCATTATTCGTACAACAATATTTCTCGCTGTTAAAAAATCAAACAAAAATCACTTACGGAAGTGGGCGAAGTCCTATAACGACGCTGGTATACATCGCAATTCGAGACAAATATGAAGTGAAAAATGGAATGACTGCCTAAATGCAATTTTTTTAATTTCGAAAAAGGTCATATTTTGAGCAAATGTTTTTTGAGTATGTGTACCTGTACAACCAACGCTTTCAACAGCTGAGTCTGCATCTTCATTGACTTTTGGCTCAAAGAAGATTTCTTCAGTGTTAGATACATTCGGAAGCCGCAGACTATCATGAGGGCAAATGTGCTTATCATCATTATAAAGATCATGCCCAGGCCTATCGTAGATGACCAGTGTATTGTTGTGACGTTTCCTTGTACTTCCTGAAAAACACTTCACAATTACTATACTTTGTAACCGATGTTCTACAATACTTGAGACCATTCGAAACCTACGTGGGTGAAGACGCAGAAAAAGGACAATTCGTTGGCATCTACCCCGTACTTTGTATAAATCGACGCATTGGCATATTTGTAGTAGTGTTCACTGGCACCAAAACAAATGAATGTTATAAAGCCATATGAAAAACCCCAGCAAAGAACAGAGAAAGTCACGACAGCAACGGAGGTCGTTTCGTGGAATAAACGGATCAAATGTGCCCTGGAAAAATTGTTGTGAGAGCGCAACAGAAATATGAGATGGCACGAAACACTGATTTTCCCATGTTGTTCTACTAACTATACACAACACTGACCTGCAAACGACAATGTATCTGTAGACGAAATGAAGGGTTAGAAGAGCAGTGGTAACACCATACATTCCTATGAACGCGCAGAGTGATAAAAATCCCCACGGTTTCACTCCGTAAAAGATGCCATTGCTGAGTACAGCTATAGAGGTGCCATATATGTGGATAGCCTAAATCATCATGTAAAACGAATTTGAGGAATCCAGGACAGGAAATTTTTTACTCCATTTCAGTGATTATCTGGCTAGCCAAGAGGGAAAACAACTGTTAAGGAATCCTCGACCATGACACTGTATTGTATGAGGTAGTGTCGAGAGTGAGCGTATGCGCAGAGAGCACAGATGGCTCGCGCGCGGCGAGAGTGAATACCCGCGCGAGAGAGCGTGATTGAACAGGCAAAAATCCTCGACAAATCCTTGACCGATTTCCACCCTGCTGGCCAACAATGTGCTCTCGCGGCATCCGCCGAGGTGCCTTAGTGCATACATAAGAGAACTTCATCGGACGACCTTAGCTACACACCTAATTCGACCAAGTCAAACCCTATCACTCAATCAATTCTTTAAAATAGCAAGTGGATGCTGTGCTTTTGAGAAGGCGACTCACAGGTTTGGCAATGATTTCCATCGTAGCGAACACGATGTTGCAAATTGCAAAGCATGTCATGATATTTTTGTAGACTTGACCGACAGAGTTTCGTGTTCCGTTTCTAATCACATAGATGAAAATGATATTTATCACCACCCCCGAAACGAATATAACTACAGATCCATAAGAAATAAATTGCTGCACGTTCATGTCCCTGGAAATAGTTTTATTCAATTTTTAAACTGATTTTGCGAAATTTACTGCCTGTGCTAGATTTTGCTTTCATCTTCTCGGAAGGGGGGGGGGGAAAGGTATCGGTGGACAATTCAATAGTAAAAATGGAAAGCAAAAAGCTATTGAGCAAAACAACATAATTGCTCAATTGCTAATCTACCATCATACATCATAGCATTCCGCAGTGGATTGCATTAGATTCAGCAAGAAGTGAAACTACTTTTGTGCCGTTGTAAGGAAAGGCACACTAGACATGGGAGCAGCACGTTCTTGCAAAAAACCTCTGAAAAATAGTTCCTTGAGTGGCTACCTAATTCTAGAGTTCAGATAACAAGCGGCATCAAATTATACGGTATGGTAGGAATGTCGTAATCTCATCGATTTAATAACAACGGTGTAGCTTGTGAAAAAAACAAGATAATGGTAACCTTTGCAATTTTTGTCAGGTATTAGGCGATGGATGATTGGAAACACCGCGACACACGAGGATCACAGCGAATCTACTGTGAGGGTCTAAACTATAAATAAGAAATCGGAAATGCATTTGTTCTATAGATAAACATAGTTCTTTCGTTGTGCTCCTAGTTCTGCAGCGTTGCTTTCCTTATTCAAAAACGGGCCATCGCAGTTGCCGGGTTGCAGATCTGGAGTATATGCTTGCTAAGGTGTCTCCAGCTCGGAAGCCACGGGTCGCGCATGTGAGGTTGCCATGAAGGTGTGCGGGAGACACGCGCCGTGTGGCTGTCAAAGTTTGATATCTGCGCTATAGGCGTGTTTGTGTGCGTTGGCTGCTTTCCTTAGCCTATTGTTAGTGTCATTTGTGGTGTCTGCGGCTTCCCCTTCTCCGCGCAGCTTGTGATTTCCGGTCACAACTATCTCAGTTTGTTCTCTAGCGCTCAGTTGGGCTTTTGCTGCGTCCGCGGAGAAGAAAAGAAGTGAGTCAAGGGTCTAGCTGCTCTGAATTAGAATAAGAATCAAGATTAAAGCTAGGATCTTCTGTGGGGCGGTTGGGAGGCGTCCCATCTTCATCGGACTTGTTACTCATTGCGACTTTCTATTTTTTGTATAAAAAATCTTTTGTCCGACCAGAGATTACATTCCTACTGCTAGAAAACATACGAAAGCTTTCAGAATTACGGCGTTTAAATATATTACGATTCGTTTGAGTCAAAATGGGAAGATTTTGCAGACTTGTTTTTAAAGTGGTAAGTAAGGGTTAGCATATATATTCGAAATTGCACAATCCTAGTATATATTTGAATTTACTTGGCTCAAGTCATGCGTAAACATCTCGTTTAATTCATCACTATTTTATCATTATGCCAATCCTCATCCTCTGTATCAAATCGGCCGAATAGATCAAAAACTTCAGACGCGTCGTACTTATATTATTTGATGGATATAGGTGCGCAATATCATAGCCTGAGGCTATTTAGAATCAGTATACGCGATGATTGGGTTTTGATCTGGGTTTTCACTAATGAGGAAAGAGAATACTATGCAAACGACGTTAGAGAAAATAGTCACGGATCAAGCACGAAGATGAACTGAAGTTGACCGTCGCATGTCTCTAGATAGAGGAACTGATAGCGCTAAGAATAGCCATTCTAGCGGACTGCCTGTTAGATCATTTAAATTTGGGGATAACGCGATGCTCGTTAATCATTTTATGAGAACAACGAAAACTAGAACGTTATCAAAAAGTCAGAAACTGAGTAAAAAATGGAAGGGTACTCAACGCGCTCCAACCTCATTCGAGCAGCTCCTCACAATACTTCGAAAGGGGACGCTGTAGATGGGGAATCTTCATTTTTAAGATCGTTGCTTATATTTATATGCAAGACGAGGGAAATGTATGGAAAATTCGCGCGAGCGTATTCCATGCGTCTATTCGTCTGTAACAGGGAAACTTCACAATGACCATCTTACCCTGCAAGGACTCGAAAGAAAAGTAAGGATATTGAAGGATTTCTGCAGAGCTTCGCATGAGCAGGGATTGGATTCGAATACATTTGCAATTTTGAATGGAACGTCTTGATGAGCCTTTTATGATGCATTCCAACATTGCAGGAAAGGATGGAATAACGAAGTCGTGTCATCATTCGAGGTCGTGTCATCGTCCCGCTCGGCTGCTCTTCTCTCTCCCTCTCTTCTGCGCTCATGGCTCCGAAAAAGACTTCCACCGATGTTGCGCCTTCTTGGCTTCAGCCAATATTAGAACGATGGGACGGTTACATCGAGAGGTTTGATCGTATGTTCGATCTTTTTGTAAAAATGCAAGAAGTTCAGAGTACAATTATCAGTAACTTGAAGATCTCGAAAAGAAATTTTCAGCCGAAAAACTTTCAGCTGAAACTGTCCGAGATAATCCCAGGTCGGCCCTGTACAGTACCTTAGTCAAATTCAAAGCCGATTCCAGGATTGTTGATGCTAAAGCTTGCAGGATCACTGGGCTCGGCACTAAGGGGGCAGAGCTCAACTGAAGCGGCCGACCGATGCCTTGACAAGAGAGGCGATTACAAGAGGTTAGCTCGTTCTTCTTTGGCGGGTGACGATGAGCTGTCTGAGTGAGTGAAAATCGGCGAGTAAATAACTCCACCACCGGCATCCGAACACCACAACCAAAACCACTCCCTAATCCAGACGCCGTATCCTCAACTCCCCTAATTTCGCAGCACATAACGCCGGCTCGCAACCCGTCGAACCAGGCTTCTCGAGACTCCATCTATGCGCTCGCCTGCGAGACGCACCCTTTTCTCCACCTGGACAAAGTTCTGATGCCCACTTATACGCCCCCCCAGAGAACAAGCGATATACACAACAGCGAGCGTTGCGATAGACTGCCCTCACTTCACCGACAAGCCGCCCGACTTACTGCCATCCGCAGAACCTCCTCCGCCACTCACCAACCCCCGCTTACACCGCCACCCCGCTCGCGTCCGCCCGCCCTGCCAACCACTCCCCATTAGAGGTCCCACGACACATACTCATCCCGGCCTTCCCAGAACTCTTCGGCAATCAATCAGAACCAAACAACTTCTGATCTAGACGTCTCCTCGGTGCCTGCCCGCTAGGAAATCGGATCAATCAATGCGTGCAATGATCAAGTTGGATCCAACATAACATATCGACCGCGCGTCCAAAACCCTCCTATCGATTTTTTCTGTTAATGGCGCGCTCCATCGGTAATAAAATCCCCGAATTAAACTTTTCCTTTTTCAACAAGTGCCCGCCGGCAGTGTTTCTTACGGAGAGCTGGTGCAAACCTAACTCTATTCAAGACGCTATCCTTAGGCACGATTCACCACAGTCAATTTTAGTTGCACCGTTGTGATCAAGAATGGTTACAGAGCTGGCGGTGGAGTGGTGGCGCTCATTCATAGGGATGTTCCACATAGTTTCCGTTTTAGTAAAGACTTTTACGAACTTGTTCAAACGGTTGGTGTGGAAATCAATATACCACTGTGGATTATGCTGGGTTCTTCGCCTCATCCGTAAAGGTCATTTCTTGCAACATGTCAGCTTTTTCGGAATTTATCGATTTTCTGCATGACCTTTTTAGAGGATGGGATGGTTACATCGCTCTTTTAGGTGACTTCAACTTTCCATTGATAGAATGGAACACTTATACGCATAGAGGGAGCGCCTCCTCCCCACTGTCACGCTCATTTCTATCCTTCACTAGGCAATACAACCTCACGCAGATGGTAATGTGTCCTACACATGGGCTAAACACTCTAGATCTTGTTCTAGTCTCAGAGCCCAAACACATAGAAATGCTTCGAGTCATCCCGCCCCTCGGCACATCTGATCACAATGGCGTTGAGTTTACCTTTTCTGATGTCCCGCTCATATCTAAGGCACCACCTACTTTGTACAGGTGCTTCTCCAAAGGTGATTATACTGCTATAAATTCTGAACTCGCCAAAATTGATTGGGTTACACTGAGCAATATTTCTGAGAACGCAGACATGTTCTACTCTAAGTTTCTCGACATATGTGTATCAATTAATTATAGCCAGGTATGTACCAGTAAAGCTCAACCGCGAGAAAGTCCAAAAATATCCAAAGCGGGTTTACTTTTTGAAAAGAAAAATTGAGCGCTTGCACTCGACAACGACTATGCCTGATTCAAAGTACAGGACGTACTTGAGAAGATTCAGCCGCGCCCTTCTTCGTCATCAGCTCATGCAAGAAAAGAAATTGGCCCTGTGTAAGAACACGAAGCGCTTCTTCAGGTATTGCACAAAAAAGTTAAAACTGGATTATAGCATACCAACTTTAACCTCCCCGGATGGTTTTCCAATCAGAGATGATCTTGCTAAAGCTAGCCTGTTTGCAGGCTACTTCCAATCTGTGTATAAGAGACACTGCATTTCTGCATTGCTCAGCTGCTGCCCAAAGACTTTCGGATTTCCTTGAGTGGGTTGACTTATCCGCACCACTATTTATTCACGCCTTCCACGAGCGGCTGCGCCTACAGCAGCTAATTCTACCTCCCTTATTTTTATTCCCTATCTTCTAAAAAAAGCGGCTCTCGGTATTTCGGCTCCACTTACTGTTTTATTCAACCGAGTTCTTCTTCACGCAGATGTCCCTTACTATATGGAAGATTGGACTTGTCAAGCCAGTTTTCAAGAAAGGATGTAGGAAAAAGTGTTTCCAATTATAGGCCCATATGCCTGACTAGCTCTGTAAGCAAGGTCATGGAGCGTGTGGTGTGTCGTTGCATTACCAGTTTTCTGAGCGAGAGGGATCTGCTCCATAATAACCAACATGGGTTCTTGCGGCGCAGGTCCACTCTGTCCGCTCTTATGTCTACAGTCCCTCGCTGGCAGCGCGAAGTTGACAAAGGAAATTTCGTTTCAGTCTGTTACATAGACTACGCGAAAGCCTTTGATTCTATTTCTATTCCCTTACTACTTGAGAAGCTGAAAGCGTACGGCCGCCCCTGCACAGGTCGGCTTCCTTCAAGT